CATCTGTACAGCCACGAAGCAATACTCACGGGGTCCAGGGATGTGGATGGAGAGATCTTCAAGAGGCCATTATTCAGCCTGCCACATGTATCAACATTTTTTCAAGTAAATTTTTGTTATTTGTGAGCTGTATACCAAATAAACTAATGAGAGCGAGGACGCTCCTTCTATAGACCTGTGCCACATTGTTACGACATATACATGTGTGAATCCCTTGAGAAAGTGTCGCCGTACAGTTGAACCTTGAACAGCGTAGAGGTTAGGGGGGCTGATCCTCTCTGCAGAGTAGAGAATCCTTGTTTAACTTCTGACTCCCCCAAAACTTAGTCATACCTCAGAATCACGGGAGATTGGTTCCTGGACCCCTCTGAGTTACCAAAACCTGTGGATGCTCAGGTCCCTGTATAAAGCGGTGTAGAAGAACGCACACGGCCAGCCACATCTGCAGACCCCCAATCACAGCCTGAAAATACCGTTTCTGATTCATGGTTGCAAAACCCGGGGGTACAGAGGGCCGACTGTATATTTACTGAAAAGAAAAAAATCTACATATAAGTGGACCCGTGCTGTTCAAACCCATGTTATTCAACATAGCCTTTCGTATTCCCAGCCCTGGTCATCCATGTTCAAATACAGTCATTCAAAAAAGAGGAGGCAGAAATGGGTAGTAGGATAATGCGGCAAGGATGGAAGCTCCAGGTGGAAGAGAATCCAATATAACTGTCCTTTCTCTCAACGAGAGCTCAGAGCATCATCCTTTTATTGTACGTATACATAGATATGTGAAGGTAAATCCTATGTATATACTCATCTTAAGTACAAATGTTACACTATAGTATCTTAATCTGCCCTGACTTTTAAAACCACTAAATGACCCTCGTCTGATTCACTTATTCAACAGAGATTTTAGTTGGCACTGATCTTGATTATCAGGATTCAAGGATCAGTAAGAGTCAGCAAGGTCACGGATAATAACTAGAAAGTGCAAGACCGTGTCCCTTACATGCTCCTCGTACCACTGCAATATGTCCGCTGTGCCTCAGTCACTGTTTAGGGGATGGAGAAAGGGATTTGGAAGGGGAGACCCTGTTCACACGAAGTGACATGCTATGAGGGCGTCCTCAGCACCCCAGGGAAGGGTAGCAACAGAGAGCGCAGAAGGCAGTGGCTGGGAATGAGGAGAGAGATGGGCAGGGCCAGCCTCGCCGGGAATCTCTCTGGGACTTCCTGCGTGGGAAAGAGGTCTCTGGAGCCGAACGGCAAGTCACGAAGACCCGGGGGAAGGAGAGAGAGTCAGGAGGTGGTCAGACAGCTGCTGGCATTGGCCAGAAAAGCGGGAAGCGTCTGAACCGAGGCAGAGGCACCGCAGAGATGGAGGGGAGAGGGTGAGTCGGAGAAAGCCTGACCTGACATCCATATGGCTTTGCAAGGGACCAGACACGGCTGCGGCTGAGGAGGGGAGGTGAAGCAAAAGAACACACTGCGGATGACTCTGAGGCTTCCGCGGTGATGTCTGAGGGATGACACCCTCAGTCAAGAGAGGACACACAGAAATGAACAGGGAGAGAGGCTGGAGTGAGGGGAGTCGATGGGTCTCAGTTTTAGACATGTTTAACCGTTTTTGGGTCTCTTGTAGGACATCCAGAAACAGATGTCTAGCAGACAGTGAGACACACAGAGCAGAGAATGAGACTTGGGTACACAGGCAGCTGTGGGAGTGTGGGAAGCGGCCAGATGCCCCAGCGACTGCAGAGAAAGTAAGTTATGGGCTGGGTGCAGGGCAGGGCCCAGGGGCTGGCAAATGAGGAGGACCCAGGGAGGCAGAAGCAGAAGCAGGACTGTAGTGGGTCGAGAAACGGAGGCAGCACGCGGGGGACGATCCTTCAAGAAATCGGGGCTCAGGGAAATCTGGGAAAGAGGTCTGGATGGCACGGTCCGGGTCAGCCTTCTACAGAATGGGGAGACCTTTATCTACTTCATAAACGCTGAGCGCACACTTCCTGTGGATACCAGGCACCATACTAAGCTTCTTACAAATATTCACTCCTTGGCGTGGTTAATTTTATGTGTCGACTTGGCTAGGCCACGGTCCCCCGATATTTGTTCAAACATGTCTGGATGTTGCCGTGCAGGTGTTTTTATGATGAGATTAACATTTAAATCAGTAGACTGAGTAAAGCAGATGTCTGTTCATCACGTGGGTGGACCTCATCTAATCAGTTAAAGGCCTTAAGAAAAAGACCGACTTCCCCCAAGGAAGAGGAAATTCTGCCAGCAGCCTCCCTTCAGATGCAAACTGCAACATCGACTCTTGCCTGGGTCTCCAGCCTGCTGGTCCTCCAAGATTTTGGACTTGCCGGCCTCCGCAATTACATAAGCCAATTCCTTAAAATCGACGCATCGATCTCTCTCTCTCTCCCCCCTCCCTTTCTCCCCCACCATATAAATACATATATATACATAATTTTCTATATATTATACACACACACACATCCTATCGGCTCTGTTTCTCTGGGGAGAACTTTAACACACTCATCGAAAAAACATTAAGTCCTATTATTATCCGCATGTCACAGTTGAGGAAATTATGGCACAGAAAGGTTAAGTAACTTGGCCAGGGCCACACAGCCACTGGGTAGCACAGCTGGAATTCCAAGCCAGCGTGCCCCCAGCGTCCCTGCTCTTAACCACACGCTGCGCTGCCTCTCCAGAACACTGACCAAGGGTGTTCGGGGCCAGCAGGGTGGGCCCACGGAGAGAGGCAGAATCCACAAAGCGAATGAATGAGAATCGACAAATGCGGTCTTGCACAAGTAAGAAAACAGGCACGAGTGATTTGCACAAGGGACTTGACAGCTTCACAAGCAGCAGAACCCAGGTTTTCAGGATACGAAGTGCAAGCTTTCCCCTCTCTCCTTCCTACTTCTTCTCCACTCCTCTTTATCCATCAGCGCTCCCCTGCCCTTCAGAGAGTCTCCCAGTCACACTCCCGTCCAGCTGCTTTCTTCCAGGAGGCCCAGGGCTTCTTCTGTCCCGACCGTGACTACGATGCCTCAAAAAAAAAAATCACCAAGTCGCAGAGAACACACACCAACCACACGCAAAGTACCCTTCTTACTTCGTGCAGGGTATGTTAATGTGGCAGAACAACCCCAGTAACAACGTCGAGTTCAGTACATCTGGTAAAATCCATGAATGCCACACAATTACGGAATCTGTTAGTGATTATTTAGAAAGTAGAACAAAACAACCCCTCTATCCCTAAATCCCGGAAAGCCCAACAGGCATGTAGTTCCAAATATAAATTCCTATACTTTGAGTACTCAAGGAATTAGGTCTCTTCGAAAACATATTTTTTTATATATATATGTATATGTGTGTGTGTGTGTATATATATATATCTATACACACACACACATATACATATATATATACATGTATATATGTATACATATATACATATGTAATAATCTGAATTGCGTTATTTGAAAACTGGTATTTTCCAGCTTTGACTTTCTTGGGACCAGGGACCGAAATGGTACAGGAACCAATGTGCCATCGGAATCCTAAGCATAAGCACGTCCTCCCATATTGCTAATATGAGTGTCAGCTAAAAAACTTACTGTAGAAACATTTGGAAATAGGTATTAAAAATTTTAGAATTTTGCACATTTTTCACCCAGCAATTCCACTTCTTCTAAATTATTTTCCTAAGGAAATAAGCATAAACATTTAGCCACGAAGATATTTATTGCGGTATTGTTAAGAACAGTAATGTTTTTCCTAATTATCGGTACCAAGCAAGGAAGTTATGACACGTCCACATGATGGAATATGACGCACTCATTAACATAACGCTGCAGAGTAATAGCTAACGCTACGTACGGAAAGATTTTCGTGATTTACAAATGATTTTTAAGTGCAAGACAGAGAACAGTGCATAGCATATAACCCCGTTTCTGTGAAATACATATTTTGTGGAAGGGGGCCTCTAAGAGGGCCCCAATGCCACCTCCCGGTGTTCACACGCCCGTGCGGCCCACTCCACACTGGACCAGCGTTGGGCTCTGTGACCAACGGCATATGGAAGGAAGTGATGGTGTGTCACTCTGACATTAGGTTATTTATTTTGCCTACTAGTGCTTTTTAAATTTTTATTTCTTTTTTAATTTTCTCTTGGATCACTTGCTCTGCTGGAAGCAAGCTGCCGTGATGTGAGGAGCCTGATGGAGAGGCCCAGATGGCAAGGAAGCAAAGGCTCCGGGCGAGAGCCTGTGGGGAGCGGAGGCCTCCGACAACCCGTGGGACTGACACTGTGCTCACCAGTGCCAGCTGAACCTCAAGATAGGCAAAGCCTTGGCTGCCAGCCTGTCTGCAACCTTGCCAGAGGCCCTGAGCCAGAACCACCAGCTGCGCCGTGCCTGGACTCCCGACCCTCCAAATCTGTGAGATAACAGGTGTTCACTGTGGTGTACAGCTGCTGAGTTTTCGGGCCATTTGTTACGCAGCAATAGATAACTAATACACATGAACGTAGTGGAATGGCTAGAAGGATACAATACGAAATACTATTAGTGGTCTTTTCTAGGTGGTGAATTATGGGTGGCTTTTCTTTTCTTCTTTTGTAGCATGTTGCTGATGTTTTCCCTCTTTCAGAAAACAGAAAAAGGGAACCACGTGACCAAGAGAGAGCGTTATGGCCTTTGAAAGTATAAAAGGATAAAAATCAGGGGAGCCAAATTTAGCTCTGATTACGTTTCAAGTAAATTAGCTAAAATGTGCAAAAAAGGAAAGAAGAAGAAGAACAAAACCCCAAAGAACATGCCTGAAAGTCACGGTGGAGTAAGTTTGACCCACCGCAAACCACACAATACACCGTGAGTACTGGGCACTCCATACCTTCAAGAAAAGGAGACTTGCACAGGCCTCTCCAAAGGAAAACCAACCATTCATAAAGTCATCCGTCAGCCGATCACCAGCTAGACAGGATTCCCGCTTACCCAGCTTCCGGTCAAACCGCCACGCTGCGACATAGGCGTTGTGCCTCAGACTGCTCTGTGTGGCCAGGGGCACGGTGACATAGATGGGGCCATCCACCAGCACGGGCGTTCCATCGCTGCTGAGCAAGTGCACACTGACGGCTGTGACTGGGGTCAGGTCGTACCTGGTGCCGTTTCCTGCAAGCAAGAGGCATGCTCCATGCATCACACGCACACAAAGGACCCTACGCGGGGCTGTGGAAACTGTTTCCGAAAAAAATAGTAATAGCTGCCATCTACTGAGTACGGTACCTCCCATCTCCCAGGGACTGTACGAGGCACTTTACACACGAAGTCCTCACCATGCCCTTCTAAGGTGGGTGAAGCCCCTATTTTACATAGAAAGAAACTGAGGCCCAGAGAGGCTGGAGAAGGGAAATGGCCTAAGGGTTCTAACAACTGTGTTTTTACTTTCAAAAAGGGCCTCAGAAGGGAAGCTCATCTATAACATGACAGGAGGCGTGTGTGGAAATCCCTTAAATTGACTCCTATACAGAGTACGCCCCATGCCCATGTCAATTACTTGACCGATTTCTAAAATAAAACCGAATATTTTCAATGAGAGACTGCAAAAAAAGAAAAAAAAAAAGGAAATTTCTTCAAAGAGTGCTTCAAAATATTAACTTACTTCTACTCAAAGTATACTTTTATTGAAAACCTGGGCTTGAAATATTTATGAGTTGTTTTAGTTGCCATTGTTATTCTGATCTGTTTAAAAGGAATTTAATATGCCAATTATTCTGCATTAGAGGCCTTTCATCCAAGCCAATGCTTTAATGACTACCTACTTTACAGATAAATTAGGGAATGCTTGAGAATGATATCATATTTATACACGTAAGCAATCCATTTTAGAAAAAAATTTCTCCAGTGAAATATAATATCACATAAAATGTATTTTCATAATTTTAAATCTTTCCTTGAACATGACGACGAAAATGCAGTGATAAAAAATTTTAAGCTACATTAGAACACAATCTATAGGATTTCTACTTAAGCTACTTATATACTTACCTATCCTTCAACTACCTGGGCTAATGCAAATCTCCGATTAGGACTAAATTTAAACATTTAAAGCAAACCCAGTGAATTTTAGAGTTTCAACGAGTTATAGCTAAACTCTTTGTATGGCAACTTCTATACAACTAATGACAACACTACCCTGTATAATTTATACCTGTCTCTGTTTTTTTCACAGGGAAAGTCATGGACGTGGGGATTTGATCAAAAAGTCCACAATGGAATCATAGATTCAAGTTCTTAAATCTTTTAGTTGGGTCATTTCATTTTAGAGTTAAAAAAAAAAAAACAAAAAACCCAAAAAACCCCAAACCCAGAATGTACCATATTTCTGGTCAAAATATCTCATGGATGGAGGCCTCCATGTGCCCTTGTCCAAAGGTGACATGGAAGCAAAGCCAGGTCCACAATGCGCCTCCCCAGATGAGATAAAACTTAAACGAAGAGAAAGTAAGTAACTGATAAACGACTCAGGAATAATGTTTTCGGTTAGGTAGTGTGGCCTGTTCCATCAATCCGGAGGCGGGAAGTCTGCCGGGGAAGCAGCAGGAAAGGAGAGCCCTCCAGACGCACCTTCCATCCTCTCCTGGTGCCCAGAAACGGCAGCCCTGCCGAACCCTCTCCATCCTCCCTTCTCATTATCTCGCACATCCCTGGCCTAGGAAGCCAGGCTCCCGTGCCAGATCGGCCATTAACTGCTTATGTGGCCTTGGGCAAGGGATTTCGCCCCTCTGGGCTTCATTTTTCTCCTGTGCAACACTAAAGAGGCTGGACTTGAGTTACCGGACTCAGCCATAAACATTCGGAAGTGAATACAGCGCTGTGGAAAAGGGCCTATTAACGTAAAGTAATATGCGCTAGGTTCATGTGATTTAATATTCTTTTCAAAGTCGTCTGAAGCACGGCAGGTGATTCTATCTGCTTGCTGAGGCCTCTCCTTTCTCAATGTCCCCACTAAATGCCTCCCAAGTGACCTTCCCTTTCTTTATTCTGGAAAGTTTCCTACTTCGAAGGGCTAAATTCTTTTTCCTTCCGGTCCTTGTTATGAGACTGTAACTTTATACAAAACACCGAGTTCTGTATATCAGGAGGTCTTTCCTTTCTGTTCCATTGTTACCTGGCTCCTGTCATGTCCGAATAAAGACAGGTGTCAGGCCAAAGCCATAGGACGAAGGGGCAGCACTGCCGGCCCAGGCTCGGAGGCCTACGGGTTGTCACTTGTAAATGCGGGGTTCTGCTCAGATTGCATCTAGGTTTCTGTCTGGCTTTGCGTTCATTCTATCACCAACTTTTCTGGACTTCAGGAGCGTTTCACCCATTAATCATTTTACTGACTCTTCTCTGTCTCCCTAGAGTTAGTTACCAGCAGAAGTAATTGCTGGAAATCCTCCTGGGAATGTCACAGACCAACGCTGCGCTTTCTCAGCAACCACGGGGGAGAGTGCGAAGCTGCGTAGGGGCGCAGTGTGAGGAGGATGCCCTACGTGCTGCCAGGTGACTAAGGAGCGAGCCGGCAGGGCAGGGGCCGGAATCTCCGCGTGGCCGCGTTTCTCTGTGTCCGGCTCCCTCTGAACTGGACGCGGCTCCTGCTCCACGGAAACCAGCCTTCAAAGCACTTTTCGACCCCATCGGTGGCCTCCGGTCACCCTCACTGAACTCTAGAAATGACCTGTCCTCTCTCTCACACAGGCACCTGCGGTCCCGGCTGTCGCATGCACTAAGCTGAAATCTCTTAGAAACGACAGCGGGGCACAAGAGGAGCTGGACACCAAGTGCCCGGGAGGCGGGGCCTCGCTGATGAGGCGCGGGGGGCGGGGCTACATGGGGTCCACGCTCCCACGCCCTCACGCGTGCGAGACAGCAGCTACCTTTCTTGGAAAACTCCTCCTAGGTCAACTTATCAGTTATTTCCGTGGAAAAGAAGTTGAATAGAACCTTTCGAAGATCTCTCTACCCTGACAGTACAGTGGTCTTTAAAATGAAACATAACTCCTCTAAAATCGATAGTCTCACGTCTTTGAGTTTTTCTTCCCCTGTTATCTTAGATGTCATAATTTATTCAAGAGCTCTTGGAAATGGGGCACAGAAAAATGAACGAGCTCCCAGCAATGAGGCCACTCCTCCCAGCTGGGGTTTCAGGATTGTGCACCGTTTTGTCTGAGAGTCTGGATGGAGGTGTCCCCGAGGTCTCAGATGGTACTTTATCATGGCCCCAAAACACGACTTTTCTCCCAGGGCTGTACGTTTAAAGCAACAGTTAATGTTTACTTTCCCCCCAATAATGTTTACTTAAGATGACTATGACGTATCCGTCCAGTGGCCTATTGCTGAATATTAATCGCATCATCACATAAAAATTAAAGGAAGAAGAAACATTTCTGAAAATACCAAAGGAGATGACGAATCACCAGGTTGCCTTGATCTGTAGCTGGAAATTTATTAATATTCTACAAAAGGAAATCAGGTATTTCAGGTTTCAAAGCTTTTTCAGAATGGTCAGTTTCTATAAAGCCCTGGACATTTCAGTGATATTCAACGAAACAGTCCCTGGGAAATGCAGCAGCTCACTCATCTAGAACCGCCTCTGGTTTTCAAGTTTACGTTGTGACTAATCTAAAGTGTCCAGAAAAATGAGGGTTGGGGCACGGGGGGAGGAAAGAACGATTCAGGACTTCAGAATCCACCACTCTCCAGTTGCCAGAAGGACAAGGGGCCGTGCTGGCCCTGAGGACCTGTGCCGGTGGCTGTGGTTGGAAGTGGAGGGCAGTTTGTACTGATAAAGCTTTATCACAAATGTTCTGGCTGTTGGCTTTTAGTGTCTCTGATTTTTTGTGGGCTGGGAACACTGGCTTGCTCATCTCTGAATCAGCCCAGCGCCACCTCCCCTCCCAGCTGTGCCATGGGTGGGTGGGGCTGTTCATCTCTGCGAGGCCAGCTAGGCAGGCTGCTCCGCCAGTCACACGTCCAGAGGCAAATGGGACAAGGCTGAGGAGGGGGGGGGGTGGTGTCACGAAACCTCTAACTCTGATCTTATACTTAAAAAATAAAAAATTCAAATAATAAAAGACTTCTCTGAATTACATATATTGAGTCCACCAAAGGCATACTCAGAAGGGGCTCAGGCAGTGGGTACCAGCAGAACCGCTCAGGGAGACAAAGCCGCTAGAACTAAACTCACCCATGTTGTTGAATGAATTCCTGAACTAAACCTCAGCGCACTTGAACTTGTCCTGAGAGCTCCGGCCCCCTTCTGCAACTTGCCACGGCAGAGGAGGGACTTCAATTACCTGTTGTCCCGTTTCCATCTAATCCTCGCAGATACGGAAAACTGTCCACCTCGGAGGGGGAGCCGGCGGCAGTGAGGAAGGCGGTCAAGTCGCTGTAGCTGGTGTTCTCGGGCAGCCGCAGAGCCCTCCTCTGGAAGTGAACGCGAGGCTGCGGCCGGGCACCTGCAGAGATTAACCCTGAGTTACCCCCAGGGGAAAGCAGCAGCCGCTTCTGTGTTTAGAAGAGGTGAAACTGGGGAGTGCTTCTCCAGGGGTTCGGCAGGGCTCCCCGCCCCGCCCCCCATGCCGCCCCGCCCATCCCCCATTCACGCAGGACACAGAGATGTGACAACGCGCTATTATGGGGATGGAAATAATAGCCCATTGTCACATTTGTTTCGACGCAGGATGTTATTTAGGGTTTTAACAAAAAGCTTTCCAAGTGCGACTTGGGAGCAGTCTTTTCAGCGCTAGGGACGGGGGTAAGAACATCTTGGGAAACAAAGTCCATGTAAGTGAAGTGAGTAGATGACGATCTCTTTACACAGACAAGGCGAGAGATACCATCTGACACTGCTCCGAACACCGATCTCTTTACACAGACAAGGCGAGAGATACCATCTCTGACACTGCTCCGAACACAGCCTCCTCCGACTGGTAAACTCTGGGTGAACCCCACAGACCCGACCGACGTTGATCCAGGGACCTAAGTGTGCAGGCAGGCCTCCTGCGGACGCTGCTGTATTCTGATGGGGTGAGCACCCTATCTGTGGCAGATGAGGCTGCGGGTTCTACCTGTGACATCATGTGCAGTCTGACTTTGTCCCAAATGTTGTTTTCATTGGGAAACCTCAACCTGTTTTCACCTGCTGTGGTGGCGACAGTTACGAGACTTAACGGTGCCGAGTCCCTTTGCCCGAACCCAGCAAAAACATCACGAAGGCAAAGATTAATACAAACGGGTGTTGTAGCGTTGACCGACAAAGGTACACATTGCCCCTATTTAAAATAAAAGTGGTTCTTCAAAGGCGAGCGTCTGCCCTGATACATCCTGGGATTTATAGGATCCATTCTGGTCATCATGTAGCCCACCGCAGGCATGAGGCAGCCCTACAGTCGGCTGGGGGCTTCCTGTCCCACCCGATGGGCTTTGTGTACGTCCGCTCCTTTCAACCCTGGACCAGAAACTTTTAAGGGGCGGTGGATGCACTTATCTGGAAGTGATCTAGAATAAGCGGGTTTTAGGGTTCAGAGGATCGACTAGCCCATGTCTCAATTCCTACAGGTGACACCACGGAAGTCCGATGGCCTGACCGCCCACACAGATGTGAAGGGTAGGCTGCCTTGATCACGTATGATGGAGGTGGCTCTCCAGGCTCCTGAAAACCACTGAGTAAGTTTCCCAAACGACTGGTCCTCCACTCCACACACACGGGCCTGGCTTCAGGGCTCATGGGGGCCAGGCACCCAAAGCCATGACAGCCCTAACTGCAGCCACCTCCAGCGAAACTAACTGGACACCTACCTCAGTCCTGTTCCAGCCCTTCGGTGCCCCTTTCTTCACCCCTAAAACAATCCTTGGGGGTGTACCAGCATCCACGTAGCTCTGTCTTTTCCCTTTGGGCCTTTCTTCCCTGGCCCTCTTCTCTTCTGATTGCACAGGACACTGCTGGCCCTCATCTTCTTGGTCAGCAGAGTTCAAACCCTCACACTGCCCAGGCGCGCGCCTCACCGGGCTAGGAACAGTCCGCTCGCCCTAATCCCTTCCCCCGACTCCCCACACGTGTGGTTTGCCTCTCCCCTTCTCCTTGCCCGTCATGCTCCCGGAGACAGACTGTCAAAAGCCAACCCTTTCTTTCTCCTGTCCTCGCCCCCAACTTACATAAAGACGTTCATTGCTTGCGTCTACCATTTTTCCCCCCCCAACGATAATGAACGTTCTGAGACCTCATTTCCCTTTCTCCACTGTTCTTCAGGGCCAATGATGCGGACGCCTGGGTTTCGCAGTAGGGAGACAAAGAACTTGCTGAGACAAAGAAAGGAACGGCATGTCTAAAGTGTAACAGGGCAAAGAAAGACAGGCTTGTCCTTGCGAGGGTCCGGGCAGAACGCAGAGTCCAGGCTGGTTACCCCGGAACAGGGCGGGGCACGTGCGTGTGCCCTTCCCGCCTTGGGAATGGCCCCCGTGAGCCGGCGGGTTGAGACCTTCGTGAAGGCTCCTTGGCTGTAAAGAGCAGAAACCTCCTCACACTAGACCAGGGAGAAGGGAGGCTGCTGAAAGGTGAAGGGGAGTCACACTGAATCCCAGGATGACGGCCCAGCCTGGCCTTACGGGGACTGGTCTGGGACCCGGAGACCACAAACCAAGCCTGCTCCCCAGCTCTCGGAGTCCCCTGGGTGTCTTGCTCCAATTCTGTACCCGTCTGTCCGTCTCTCTCATACCTTCTCTTCTTCTCTAGCATGTCATGCACTTCAGTGGGAGATGTTCCTCTCCCCTCCCCTCCCTGTGCCCTCCCTTCCCATTTTGTGCAGGAGAACTTGGTCCCCGGCCAGCCAGATGTCTGGGCCTATCTGCTATGGCTAGGGTTTGGGGGGCGCGCGCTGGGGCAGGTTTACAACGAGGGCGCGTGGCTGGCCCAGCTGATCTGACACATGCTGTGACCAGCATGACCTGCATACCTGTCCCCTGGGGAACCAAACACGCTCCTCCCCAGAGCACAGCAAGACGTCTCCCTGGTAAAACAACCAGGGAACATTGGAGAAGTGTAAGGGTCAAGGCTAGTCTAAGCCGTGGTGTAAATACAATTTAAAGGGGGATGTGTGGGGCTGGGGGAGCGGTTAGGTCCTTAAGTCTATCTTCCTTTATTAAGGCTGTTAAATGCCCCAGCTTTCAGGACGGGAGGTGACTGGGTGACGAAGGGAAGATGGAGCACGGACAGTGTGTCGTCTGTCCCCACATGCCTCTCTCCCACATGGCCCACGACAGCTCTTTCAAACTTCCTCTGTTCCTCTCAGACTCAGGGCTCCAGCACCATCCTCCAAATGCTCAGACTCTACGCTCCTGAAAACAGGGGCCACCACGCCCTCTCTCCGCACTTTAAAATGCTTCTTCCCTCTTCTCTTCTGTCCCTGCTCATCTCCAGAGTCAACCTCAGTATCCTAACTTTTGCTTGGTTCACTGCAAGACTTGGCCCCGCCGACTATTTCTGCTTTCGTCAATAATCCACAGGCTTTTTCTTCCCGACCAACAAATACACCCGTTTTTCCCTCATCTAAATAACAGTAAAACGTGACTTTAAGTCCATTATTCCCATAAACACATACCTTCTCCCCTTCTACCCAACCCCTGGTGATGTGGCTTCTACCCCCAACACACGCTGCCCTTGGAAATGCCAACTGACGGCTGAATCATCTGCAAACCCCATGACCGTTTCTCAGCCTCCATCCGCTTGACCTCTCCACAATGGTCAGCACTGTTCCCCGCCCCCGCCCAGGGACGCCCCCTTCTTGGCGTTCACGGTCCCGAATTCCGGTCTCTCCAGAGTCTGTCCGCTTTTTCTTCTGCAAGTGCTTTCCCCATCCTCTTACCGCCGATGAAACGGTCCCTCAAAGGCTGCCACAGCTGCCTCTGCTCTTCCTGGGCTCTCTCGTTCCCAAGTCCCCCCCAGTGACGCCACCTCAGCCGTTACCTCCCTCTCCAGTGGGGACTCTGCCCAGCAACACGTCTGCACTTCGCCTGCCTTCCGCACCTTGACCTGGGTGCCCGCCGGGCGCTCTAAATCATCATCTGCCTCCTCTCCCACTTAACGGCCCCCCACGCTCCCCAACGCCCAGGTCTGATTCCAGGTCATCACCAGGATTTTCCCTACTATTCTGCACATTCGCTCGAGAGCCAGTACTGGCCAGTCATCCCTTACCAACATTTCTAGCATCATCTCTTCCTCCCTCCCCGTCTCCGCCCGACCCATAGTACCCCACACGACCCCTTGCCTTGACGGCCTCATGCTTCAGACGTTCCTCTTTTCATCTCCGTACACAGTGATTGTTCTAGAAATCCACTCTGATCACAACCTTTTCCCGCCCAGAAACCTTCAGTCGATGGCCACCGCTTACCAAATTAACCCTGGGGGCGGCAAGGGACCAGTGTAGACACAAACTACTACCAATGTAGACCCAAACTACCACCATTATAGACCAGTACAGACCCATACTACTACTACTCCACCTGTCCCATCAGGGAGGGGCGCAGTTTAGAATATACAAAGTTCTTACGGACATATTATATTATTTAATATTTACAACAACCCTAGCCTCTGTGTGTAAAAGGCAGAGAGGCATGCCCCTCGTCCTCACCTCCGTGTCCGTTCCTAGCCTACCAGGGCTACCCCAGCAGAGACGTTCTGCTTACGGCCCATCGGCTCTCGGCCCCCGGCCAAGTGGGACTGCACAGCCCTCTGCACCTGCACACAAGCCGCTCGTGTGCACGTCTTCTCCACGTCTGAAGCTTCTTCCCATCTTCTGCTTGTACCTCCTACCTGTTACCCGAGATGCAACAACCTGTACCTGCTCAGATACAGCCTCGTTTTGGGAAAACTCCTTGCAGTTAACCAAGCCCTCAGCTTCTCCATCATGCGTTATCTTGAGACTGCTCCAGGCTTTCTTTATGAAACCATGGCATCAATAACAACACGAACTTCCTTAGCTTTTCAAATGAAAGGATCACTGATCACTCAGGCCAGGTACCGTCGGAAAGATGCATTTATTGTGACCTCATATGTCTGGAGGCATCTATGAAATCCCACCCAGTCCCATAAGGGAAGAATTTCAGGGTGTGTCTGGTCAGAATTTAATTAGATCCTGTACCTCTAGAGAAGACAACAGGGAGGCAGCCTTTTTACTTTTTAAGGTAAACTCCTATTAATCATGGGTTTATTCTACTTTATTACGTTATAAACAATTTCAAAACAAAGACTTCAACTGAAGCATCAGTCATCTGGCAAATGAGAACAATGGACGCTGTCCCCTCCTCTCTGGTCTCCAACTCTCACCCGGTGGCCTTCGTTGGTCCCATAAACCAAACAATGGGGCACCATCTAAAACTGTGCACGTGACACGTACGAAGCTCCATCACTGACCTGTGACCTTATTACCTTCTTCCTTTCTCAGGAGCATCTGACCCGTTATGCCCCCTGAGCAAAACACCAGAAATTCAAATGGCTTATAGCACTTGCATTCCTCATCGGGAGAGAATTTATCTATTTATTTATTTATTTTTTCTTCCTCCGAATCCATTAAAAAAAAAAATAAATGCACCTGCACTTGACCAGTTTGAGAATAAAAATTTAGTGTACTATTTCTAAGTTCAGTTTTGTATCGGTTTTATAGAACAGAACTGCAAAGACCAAAGATTACCTACAGACAAAGGCTTCCCTTCTAAATGATAAGAGAGCCTGAAACATAATCGTCAAATATTATTGCCAAGTCTCCACTCTGCAAAGTACAAGGAAAAGTACAACTAACAATTATTAAACCCATGAAGTAGGATAAGTTACAAAATTAACAAAATTTACATAATTTTAAAAAGCTGGAATGCGGATGAGATCTTAGAAAAGGAGAAATGGTTTTGGTTTCTGGTTACAGACAGGAGGCAGTGATATCCTAGACTGAATAAATTAACTGTCACAGAAACTACCGAATGATTTAGGTCCTTGGTTTATAATACGACCAGGCTCCTTGCTCCTTGGAGAAAGAAGGAGTTATTCAAGTACTTTATTGCACACGTGTGTCTGTGTGTAAACTGTAATCTTCTGAGCAGCCATCACAGAGAAAATAATTGACCATGCATGAGTAATCCATGCAGGAATTGCAAGAAGCAGTGAGATTTGGATGTTTTTAAAAAATATTTACTCAATCATTCAATAAATTACTTATCAGGTAGGTACCTATCAGAAAGCAGACAGGGGCCAGGCCCCGCAGGGGCTAACAGGACACACTCCTGCCCTTTGGGTTTATGATATAGTTTGGGAGGTAAGGTAGACTACCAAATGTGGCAGAAAGCGAGGTATCACAGTAAGACACAGAACCCCAGCCGGAGGGTTGTTTTAACCCATCCTTCTGGTTACTGAAAAGGACATGAAGGGCAATAGGGGAGAGAGGGATATGTGGAACCCCAGGGTGGGAGCCAGGCGGACGGCAGGTGCCGGAGGGCCTGGTTCTAGGCTCAGGGCAGCCTCGGGACGATGAGGCAGGAGGGGTCTGTGCATTTCGCTTGACTGCTGTGTCAATGACACAATCGCACGAAGGCCCGGTCTGCTTCTCTCTGACCTGCTACCAACTGGCTCCCTTTCTTAGTCACACCTTCTGAACCCTTCTCGCTTGGGCTTGTGGGTAGCCTGGCATGATCACAGACACCCTGCACCCCAGGACTGTTCGGCTGAGGCTCTCGCCTCTTCTGGATTCTTAGTTTAGTCTCAGTAAAGAGAAGAGAGAGAAGAGCTGATGGCTCCAACTTCTTTTCTCCCAGTCATGTCCCAGCCCCCGGCCACACCATGGACTGGTTATCCCTGAGCTGGGGGTCACTAGATATAAGCCCTTGTCAGTCGAGGTTGAAGGAAAAGGCACCAGCATGATTCATATCTCAGGGAAGACACGGGAAAGACCTCTGATACCGTGAAATAAGTGGGTGAGCGTAGCATGTCTATATTAGAGACATTAATTACAACCGTTAGTCTCTTGCTATTATTTTCAAACTGGGCTAAATTCTGGTCTTTATCAGAATTAACGGTTTCTGCCTTAGTGAAGAATGTGAGAAAGAAGCATAATCATTCCTTCATTTTAAGAAAACCATGGTCCCACCGCCCGCCTCCCCTCCACCCCATGGTTACTGCAGCATCATTCACGACAGCCAAGGCATGAAAACAACCTTAGCGTCCATCGATGGATGAATGGATACAGACAAGGTGGTGCATGTAAACAATGGGAAATTATTCAGTCACAAAAAGGAGGAAATTCTGTCATTTGTGACAACATGGATGACTCTGAGTGCACGATGCTAAGTGAAATACGCCAGACAGGGAAAGACAGTCCTCTGGGATCTCGCTTATCTGTGGAACCCAAAAAACCCCGTCTCATAAAGAGCATAGGTTGGTGGGTGCCAGAGGTGGGGGATGGGCGAAATGAATGAAAGGGGTTAAAAGGCACAGACTTCCAGTTCTAAGATGAATCAGGATGTGATGTGCAATACAGTTAATAACACCGTATTGTATATTTGAGACTTGCCAAGAGAGTGGATCTTAAAAGTCCTCAGCGAAAGAAGAAAAGGTCGCAACGATGATGTGATAAATGGTAAACTAAATTTACTGATCAGGCACACCTGAAACTGGTACAACGTTCTATGTCAATCGTATCTTAATAAAACTGGGAAAAAAGAAAATCATTATCTTTTAGTTGTGGAACAATAGCAAAGCTAATCAAAGAAAAATTGGAAGTGCCGAGGACGACGGGCACAGGCCACGGTGTGGTCCTCATTTAAAAGGATGCTGAGGCCTCAGGCTTTCACTGTGCAGATGACATGAACATCTGTATTTCTATTTCTGTTTCCTCTTCCGACCTTGAGTCACGCAGGCTGTTAGACGCTTCTACTTATTTTCTTTTCAAACACGTCTTCTGAGTTCACCTTATTTGTAAACGGCATGTGAAGATGGTTAGGTTGGGTAAGGAACGAAAGCGTGTATAATGGTATACACACCATTAAAAATAAAGGAATAAAGTAAATGAAAACTAATCTGGTGAAGCATTAAAAAGCCAGGAAACAGCATTCTGAAGGCCCAGGATTTAGACAGAAGAAAATAACGTTAGCACAGAGGTCAGCTAACGAGCGTTATTCCCAGTTCTAGCCCCAACACCAACCAAGGGGCAAGCCTCCAACCTTTCTGTACTGGTGTTCCAGCAGGCGACATTAGAAGGGGTGAAGTCACGTTTACACGCTGCTGCACGTGACGTGGGTTTAAAAAACGAGGGGATGAGATTGATGAAGAAGCCACTCTCGAACGCTCATAAAGTGTCCCCCCCTTTTTTTAAGGGGTGGGATGTATGAAGGTAAACAAACACCATACCATCACATCTACCATCCTGACCAGTTTTAAGCGTGCGGTTCCCTAGTTCAGCATATTTATATTGTCGTGCATCAGATCTCTAGAACCTTTTCATCTTGCAGAACTGAAACTCTATATGCGCGAACACTTGTGATCCTTTTATGAGTGACCCTGTCCCCTGGTCAGTGAGGCCCAGGCCCTGACCTCACGAGTTGAAGATTCTCTCCTTTGGAGAAGAGAAGGATGTGGTTATGGACAGAGCGGCAAAGCCTCTTAAAGGTTGGGCCCACAAGAAAACAAGACCCCATTCAGATATCCACAGATATTTTAACCCAAATTCCAATGTGTCCTGCACTCCTAGAGACAATGGACGTTATGTCTCAGCTGTGGGTCAATTCGCTGCCATAACTTCCTGACAATAAGCTTTCCCTCCTAAGATTTTAGTAGTCGGCCCCAAAGTTACTGTTGCTTCTCTTTTTATTTATTTTTATATATTTTTTTGCTATTTCATTATTTTATTTTTTTCAATGGACTTTTATTTTTCAATTGCAATTGACATTCAATATTATTTTATATTAGTTTCAGGGGTACAGCATAGTGGTTAGACATTTACGTAACTTACAAAGCGATGCCCTTGATAAGTCTGGTACCCACCTGGCACCCTATATAGTTATTACAATATTACGGGCTATATTCTCTATGTTGAACTCTATATCCCTGTAAGAATGAACTCTTACCATTTGTGACATGTGGATGGACCTAGAGGGCATTATGCCAAGTGAAATAAGTCAGACAGAGAGAGACAAATACCACATGATTTCATGTCTCTTTTTAAATATTCAGTATACCTTGAAATCCTGAGACTATTTGGACAACGTCGTCATACACCATTAGCGTAGCGGATCGTTCTGGAAGCAGGCCAAGGCTCAGTGAAGAAAACACTGCAGAAACAAAAACAGGTATAAGAGAATTCTGACATTTAGGTCAAAATGTGCACTCTAATTTTTAAATTCTCTGACTTCAAATCAATCAACAATATTGATTTTCCATATCATGACATAATAAGAAATATATATTTGGTCTTTGGCCTTGGTTCCTGACAGAGTTCCTAAGTCCCTTGTAACTTCCTGAGTGATGGGGGTGATAGGAGTATCTTTTGTTGTTATAAGTCAACTGTAGGTGGGTTCCTGGATGGGGGCTGGCCACTAGAAAGATGGAGTCATGGGTAGAAGCTTGGCTTTCAGCCCCAGCCCCTATTCTGGGGAGAGGAGAGAGGGACTAGAGATTGAATTAACGATCGATCATGCCTACGTGATGAGGCCTCCATGAAAATCCCAAATGTTTGGGGAGCTTCTGGGCTGGTGAATACATCTGTGTGCTGGGATGGTGGTGCACCCCAACTCCACGAGGATAGAAGCTTCCAAGCTCAGAACCCTTCCAGGTCATGGCCTGTGTGCTCCTTCACCTGACTGTTTACCTGGATCCTTTACAATATCCTTTAAAATAAACTCACAAATGGAAGTTAAGTGTTTCCCTGAGTTCTGTCAGCCACTGCAGGAAGTTATTGAACTTGGGGATGGGTGTGGAAACCCCGGGTGTACAGCCGGTTGGTCAGAGGCACAGAAGACCACCTGGGTCTTGTGTCTGAGGCGGGGAGCGGTCTGGTGGGCGGAGCCCTCACCTCTGAGGTCTGCGCTAACTCTGGGTAGTTAATGTCAGAACTGAACTGAATCATAGGACATCTAGTCAGTGTCCAGACAGGTGGAGAATAGATTAGTTTGAGGAAACATCCCACTCATTTGGTGTCAGAAGTGTGAGCAGAGAGAAAGGAAATGGTTTTTCCTCTGAGTATGATGAGCAAGACTTTTCCATGGGTCACAGGATACTGCAGTTGCTCATATAACAACAGTTTACCGTACAAGAGTCGACTATTTTTTTATTCACTAAAAGTTTTTAGTAAAGCATCTGAACCCATTAATAAAGGAATGTACTAAAAGTTACAATGTACACACTATAAAAATGTAAATATATAAGATTAGATATTAATATTAAGAAAGACTTCAAAAATATGTGCTTAGGTTAATGTGTGCCTGATGGTAAAAGAATATCCCCTCTCTCCTATTCTGGGAACTAATAAGATGAAACAACTTATGTTATGTTAAAATCCTGGCTTAAATACCCCTTGGACTTCCAACTAAAAAATTCACAAAGCTTATACGTTTCTGGGTACAACGTGAACTTAAGAGAAAAAAAATACATTATGGAATAATAATAATCGCTAACATGAGCGAACCCTTCCTAACCTGTCAGGCATTATTCTAAGTGCTTTAATCTTGGTAATATAGTTAAATCGCAAAATGACGTGATGAAACGGGCATTACTGACATGCCCATGTGACAAGGAAAGAAACAGCTCTATGGATCAGGGATTAACTTGTCCTAGATGCCGCAGCTGGAGTCTGTCCTCAACCACCACGCTCCACGGACTCGAAGTCCAAGTCCATATCTCTAAGTTTAAAGAGGAGGAAAGGAGCCCTAGAGAGGGAAAGTGACTTCCTGGGAAAATGTTAGGAGCCAGAAATATCGAGTGCTAGGGACATCAATTACTTAGCGCCACTGGCTCTTAATAGTGCCACAGGGAACCAGTCAGCTGGCCTTGGACATGGCTCTCTAGACAGTCAATTTATTCAGCTGCCACTATAGATAAGGCCCAGTGCTAGATGTGTGGAACAGATCGACATGGGAGGCGGTGTGTGCCTTCGAGGTACTACGTCAGAAGGGGACTAGGACACACATCAAACTGCTGTGTGACAAACAGAACGTGGCAAGTGCCATGAGAAGGCTAAGCAGGCACCCTGGTGCTGTGGAAAACAGCCCGGCAGGTCCCTAAACTGTTAAACATAGAGCTACCGTGTGAGACTACAACTCCACGGCCAGGGACACGCTCAAGAGAACGGATATGTTCCTGCAAAAAACATGGACGTGAACGTCTATCACGGCATTAGTCATAACAGCCAAAAAGTGGAAACAACCCAATATCCGTCGACTGATGAAAAGACAAACAAAATGTGGTGTATCCACACAAGAGGCTATTGTTCACCCACAAAAAGGAATAAAGTACCGATTCAGGCTACCACATGAATGGACCCTGAAAACAGTGGGCTGAGTGAAAGACACAAAGGGCCATACATTATAGGATTCGATCTATCTGTCACGCCCACAGAGACAGAGAGATGAGCGGCTGCCAGGATCTGGAGCGGGTGGGAAATAGCGAGTCGGTGTGAACGGGTTTGAGTATTTTTGAGGGCCAAGAAAATATTCTGGGATTATAGTGGTGATGGTCATACAACCTTGTGAACTGCACACGTCCAAAGGGTCAGTTTTATAGTAGATGAATTACATTCCAAATACAAAAACAAAAAAAAAATAACTTTTTTTTTTTTTAAATAAAAGGATTCAGATTAGGGGATCAAAGTTGGGAGAAAAATCCACAGCGGGTTGGGGGAGCTGAGGACTGGGTCACGCATGTGAGCTGGGACTAACAAGAGGAGCCCTGTCTGGGATAAACCCTGCAGAACTGCTTCACAGGGACACTTGACCTTTGACAATGACCCTTTCACCCAGGGGCATGGGGCATCTAATGGCCAGGAAGACAGAGCCAGATTCTTGTTGCCTGTAGACGACTCACCTCCAAGCTCAGGCAGGTGAGGTGTTTCCTGCCTCTCTACGTGCAGACACCTGGACCGCCCTGCTCCATTGGTCTGAGAATTCACGCAGATCCCAAATGGCATTTCCTGAGCCCGATAATCTCTGTGCCGACTGGTGTCGGGGACTCTGAGCTATGGAATCACCTGTGATCAGCGTCTCGAGATGTGTGTGACCATCGCAGGGTGTTTTGAAAGTGTTTCCCACATAAACATTTTGGTATTTCTACGCAATAGGCATCTGCTCTAGCAAACTGCTTTCTCAGCCCTTATTTTGTACATGAGAAGAAATGAGTTCTTGTCACGAGTGTGCTGTGCGGTGGCAGGGGCACCAGCAGGGCTCTCCCGGAGCCGGGGGGGAAGGGACTGCAGACCTCAAATAGACTGAGTGCCCTGGCAGGTGGGAGGGGACACAGAGACGCTCAGATTTGCAGGTAGATGGTATTTTACCCATCACGGAGGAGATGCTGACTGATGCCTGGAGGTTCTTATCATGCCCAGTAGATGTGTGTAAGTAGAAAGAACATCCAACTCTGCCTGGGAAAGGCAGGAAGACTTCATGCAGCGGAAAACAGCCAAGCTGGGCATCGAAGGACAGAAGACAAGCTTGCTGAGAACAACGGTAAGGGAATGATAACGCAGGCAAACACAGAGAGGAAAAATGCCAGATTCCTGCAGGGAATAACAAATTGTCGGAGATGACCAGACCGTGAGACACGGAAGGGAGAAGCGGCTGAGGAAGGAGGATCTATGTGCTGTGTTTAGTCTAAACTTTATCCTGAGGACACCCAATGACTTCAGGCAGATGGATAATATATATATGTATATATATATATGTGTGTATGTATGTGTATATATATATATGTATATACACATACATATATATATACATATATACATATATATATATATATATGTATATATGTATATATGTATATATATATGTATACTGAGCTAGCCAAGGCTGCTGCAATAGTCCTGGACCACTGAAAAAGGTCCATAAGACAATCACTATGGAGATGAAAATAATTAAGATGTGGAATTAGAGTCCTTAGTTGACAGATTATATTTTATATAGCTAAAGTTGTTTTACCTGCTTCTCAAGTTGGATTCTTCTCCCCTTTCTCTCAATCTCTACCCCTTTTCTTGAAAGAGAGGAAAAAAAAAAACATATATCCTCCAGGAACTATTCTCAAGGATGAAAAAAGAAATCCATTCGCAAATCTCATAAGAATGCTTATGTAAACAAAACCACGTGTGCACATGTAGTAAAGAAAGCATTTTTTTTTTTTGGTTTCAAATTTTCAGCACATTTTAGAAAAAGCTCCCAACTTTTCTCTCTTCCTCAACCAATTATCTGGACTACAAAAAGCGTTAGTGTTGGCCTCCAAAATTATGCATGAAAACAATAGTTTACCCCGCTTTTCACAATAGATCAGTCTAAATTTTGGCCACATTTTCTGTTAGGTTCTAATTGAGTATTTATCTTTCTTTGTTGACAAGACAAGCAGAGAAAAATAATCGAAGACACAAAGGGTCCTTTAAAATTATTCGGTCTATTTAATTTAGTTTAAAAATGAGAAATGTGGGTTCAGAATGGAGAGAAGGGCCCACATATGTGGGGCCAGCTGGGCGGGTGGCGGGCAGGTGACAACTCAGTTAACTTCATGCCTAGTCCAAAACTCTTTCAATTAAACTATGTTGTTCCATTTATTTAACTTATTTAAGAAAATGGACACTATGGAAATGGTTGCTTTTTCTGAAATGACCATGTTAACAAAAGTCAGAATGAATGTACTTATAGTCGATCTTCATTGTCTGTAGCTTCGGTATCTGTGCATGCGCCTAACATTGGTAACCCCCAAATCGACTCTCACGTGCTTTCTTTACATTTGCTCGTGCAGAGTGGGCAAAGATTTGGGTCCCCTGATGTGGGCCCTCTCGATTCAGGTCAAACAAGGTGACGCTTTCTGCCTTCCTCCTGTAGTTCTCACGCCATAAGCATCCCTTTTGCAATCTATTCGGGGCCAAGTGTTTTTGCAGTCTTGTGCATCTTTTGTTGGTAATGTCGCTGTTTAAAATGGCCCAGATGCAGTGCTGAGGTGCTGGCTAGTGGTTCCTCAGTGCAGGAGGGCTGGGACGTGCCTTATGGAGAGAGTGCGTGTTTGATAAGCTTCCTTCAGGCATGAGTTACAGAGCTGGTGGCCGTGAGTTTGCTGTTGATGAACCAACAATAGACATGAGATGTCTTTAAACAGAAACCCCCGTAAACAAGGTGATAGGTTGATTGGTTGATGAAAATGGTGTGACCAGAGGCTTGCAGAACCTAACCCTGCATCTCCCCTGGGGGCAGTGGCTCAGGAGTCATGAACTCAGTGTTCACAGACTTTATAGAACGTAACTACTAAGAACAAGGAGACCTGAGAATCGTCCATACTTTATGCTCCTGCTCTCCTAGCAAAGGAGCCACTGCGGTGTCAAGAAACCATCTAAACTCCCCTGGGTTGCTTCTCAGTGTGAAAAGTGGGGGAGGTCTATTTTCTTTAGATATGACCTAATACATATCATCTTTCCTCCTCAGCGTTCTGTCCTAGGCCCACCCCCCTCCACCGTGGGTGAGCTCAAGGTTTTGACCCTCATCGCGACACCGTTAATGACCCCAAATTACACCTCTACCTCCAACCCCCCGAGCTCCAAACTCATTTCAAACGGAAGGCCAAACACACTTGGCATCCCAGAGGCAGCGCAAATCCAGCCTACGCTGAGATCATCATCAACTCTGACCCCAACATGCATCCCCCACCTCGCCTGTCTCCCGTGCCCCCACGACCACCTCCATGCACCTTGCCTGAGCCCGAGCCGGGGGAGAGGGATGCACACAGGGAGAGGGGAAGGTTTTGTTTTGTTTTGTTTTGTTTTAATCTACTGCATCAATTCAATCAACTTTAGAGGACCACCGTGCATGTCCCAACCTCATCTCCCGACTGTTCTATCTGCTCTGTCACCAGCCAGAAACCAAGGTCCAACTCGTGTTTATTCTAACTCACCCTTTCCCTTCCCTCTCTCCCATCCATTCCTCAAGGCCTTCCGGATTTTTGCCTGCTAAATAGTTCTCAGGTTTATCCCTTTTCTCTAAGATTTTCCTAACGGATCTCCTCAGTTTTCTCTCCATCACTTTCCAAAGCCCACAAAGCAGTGGTCTGGAACCTTTAGCGAACACTAAAGGTTCAAAACCCTCATCAGCTGCTTTCTCTTATCCGTAAGTTTCAGGGGTTGGAAGGGCGTGGAGGTGCTTGTCAAAATGCAGATCCCCGAACAGGCGGATGCTCTAGAGCTTCGACCCCACACGTGCATATGATAAGGCGGAGCCCCAACCCGCTTCGAACTCGGCCCCACCTCTCCTTTATACGAGGTAAAGCAGAGATCAAACGCGTATTTTCCCGCCTGACTTCCCCTGTCCAAGGGGTTTCTGGGTCTGACTCCGTCACTAGCCGGACCCTGAGCTCTGGGTTAGAGAAAGGTGAGGACCATCTTACCGGGCAAGCGGATTGGCTTCCACGGGGCGGAGTTTGGCACGTAGGCGTGCTTCGTGGCGGTGACGATCAACTGACTGCCCAGCTTGTACTGGAACTTGATGAACGCGGCGCCATCCGTCCCCGAGGTGCCGGAGGCGATGGAGACCTGGTTGGTGAAAATCTCGATGAGCGCATCCGGCACGGGCTGATGGGTGCTGGCGTCGCTGATGTGGACCTTTAGTGTCACCTCTGGAAGAGGAAAAAGCGACACAGAACAACGGGCTGTTCACTGGGCGATTCCCACAGCCACTCTGCTTATAACTGTGATGGGAGGTGGTGAGCACGATATGATAAGAAAATCTGGATCTACGTCCAAAACCGGAATCGTCTGGACCAGTGAAAGTTTTCTTCTTAGACAACCTGTTCCAGTTTACACCATTTCCCGTTTTGTTCAAAACCCTCATAATCTGCTTTCTCTTTTGAGATACAGATCATATCCCTTTCAAAACAGTGCAAAACAAACTCATGACTCTTTTGTTCAACCTGGCGTTGCCCGCTGGAGCAAGCTCAGGCTGCTCCGGAAGGATCCTGATGTCTCTGAGACCTGCAGCCACATTCGTCACTCGTCCCAGTGAACACGGATGTGAGCAATGCAGACACGCTGTGCTGGTAACCGTGAAGACCAGACCGAAGTGTAGTGTGAAAAATCATTTCAAGGGAGATCCCATCGAGTGGGACATGTTTAGAAGAAGAAAAATACCCCAAAGTAAATGTTCGAAAAGAGAGATGAAGTTGAGTTAGTCATATTGGCAAAAACAGATAAAGTGGGAAATGGACAGATCCAAATTAACGTTAAGGAATACAAATAGAATGGATCGTTTTCATTTCTTTACGCGAGAGGTGTTTATCAAGCTGCTACCCTGTGCCTAGAATTGTGATTCACTGTACAAGCTACCGTGGTGAAGAAAAGTGAGCAGGTAGGCAAGTGCTATGTTTGAGGGACATTTGGTGCAGACAGGAAGGGGGCAATGACGGAACAGCACGTGCAAAGGCTCGGAGGCGAGAGAAAGTCGTACTTCCTGGGGAAAGAGAAACAGGCTCCGAGGGCTGGATGGAGTGTAAAGGATCTGAGAGGCAAGGAGGGGCCGGGTCACCCATGGTTCTATAAGTGCCCTAAAAGGATCATTCTTTATCTCAAGGGCAATGGGAAATCACAAAGGTTTTAAACAAGGGTGTGGACATCAAATTTATGTTACAGAAACATCTGGCTCCAGGCAAAGGATGAACGGGAGGAGGGGTGAGACCGGAGACTGAGCATCCAGCAAAGGGCCTCAGTAATAAGCCAGGAAGAGACAGTGGTGGACCAGACTCTGGCATCGCGGCAGACGTCCATTAAAGGGCTATATTCCAGAACAACCAGAAGAGTCTCCTGTTCCGATAAACCCCTGTCCCTCAGGCATGAAGGGAGTGGATGGTACCCAGTGGCATCGGCAGTCTGACAGGAGGGAGAGGGAGGCCTGAGGGAGCTGGCCAGAGGCCACTGCAATTCGCTCGCTAGTTCTCGTTCTCAGTTCCACCACGTTGCAGCCATGTGACCTTGGTCAGGTGACTTATCCTCCCCCGGTCTCGGTTTCCTCATCTATCCACTGGGGACGATAACAGCACACATCACAGCACGCAAGCGGCAACGTCTGTCATCATGTTGCCTTGCCGAGGAGCACGCACACGAGAGACTGCCATTACGTTATTCTAATCGCTGTGCTCGCAAGCACAGCGTCCAGGGCATCAGGACAGGACACAGGAGAGGGGGCTGCAGGGAGAAAGATATAAAACAGAGTGAAGGGACAACACGTCCCTCCCGGGGGTTTTAATAACTTTATATACAGAGCTCTTTCTCCACCGGGCAACCACGTGAAGAAGAATTTCTTCTGCTTTGAGAAGCGCCACCTTGGTAACTGCCAACTATTTTATGATACTAAAGCAACCTTTTCAATACTGCAAACTTCAGTTAGTCCATCATTTTCTTTTTGGCCCTCTTTTTCACATACTGACTTACTACATTTCTTGACTAGATGACCAAAAAGAACAAGTAAAGAATTGTAGATCCAAGTACTATAGATCTGTACCAAATAAATGTCTCAAAACCTTGCAGAGAGAGACAGAAAAAAAAAAATGCTACCGAAAGTGAACTTGGCTACTTCATATTACAGGAAGAGAAAACTAATGCCCAGAGAGGTAAAATCAACATCATGGAAATCAAGGCTATGACATTACAAAACCTATGTAGTCCATTCCTTCCAGTGACATCAGTGTCATTTCAATGCAGATTTGCAGGATGTGCCCCACACATGTGTTTTCTTATTTAACCCGGTCTTCTTTGATCCCAGGAGGTATGTGAACTTACAACATAAATTAACTCAGCTTTCATTAAGATGCACATGGCAGAAATCCTCTAGAAGCAGGGAGAGTGGGAAGGTGGCTTTGTGGGGCTGCACGAATGATTTATGTAATTTTACGGTAATGCCACATTTACTAGCCATGGGGATTTCAATGTTTCTGCTCTCTCTCCACTGTTGGCTGGGAAGGCAAAAGCAGCTGAGATCGGGGATTCTTGAATAAAGAGAAAGAAAGAGTTCTACTGTAATCAACTTCCTAGAGTCCACCGCTTGAATTTTTTCTAATACAAGAAGCCTACTTTATATTCCGCGATTGTATACTTTATAAGAGATTATCTAGCTACTTCCTTTGGTGTGACAGGATGTGAAAAAATGTCAGTATCGCTAGGCGATTATTACAGACCACTGGGGTATCTGTGTGTGTGTGTGGGGGGGGTGGGGGTTCGCTTTATTCATGTGATACTACATCATGAACAGACCTCCAGTCCGACAGCTCTAGATCCAGTTCATTTCTTAAAAAGAGACTTTCTTTTTAGAGCAGTTTTAGGTTCATAGCAATATTGAGTGGAAGTTACAGAACTTTCCCATTGGGGTATCATTTTTCTAGAGTAACACTTAGAATTAGATTACCCATTCAACAGTAAACAAAATTATTCCTACCAGGGAAGTCAGCTTACAGCCAGCTGAGTTCACTAACACCACTCTTATTTTGCAGAGAAAAGGAAGACCAAGACCCTATAAATGGTCCCCGACCTACACATGTGTTAAGATGTTTGCTGGCCGGCGAGATGCCGCCGAGCTGGGGTACCTGATTACGAAATCAAAGCTGGAACATCATTCTTTGGCTCCTTACCATACACATCCGTCACCAAGTTCTGATTTTAATTCTAAAATACACGTCTCACAGCAGGCCCTTCCTTCTCAACCGAGTTCACAAGGCTTTATTTCAGGCCCCCTCCATCTCTCGCCCGGACTGCCACTCGACCTCTTCACAGAACGGCCATTGTCCTCAGACCTGACCTCTGAAATTCCACGGAAGTCAGAGGGAGCTACCTGAAATATTAATCTGACCACATCCTGACCCCCTTCCAACCATTCTGTGCCCCCACCAAATGTGGCCAAGGGCCAGATGTGGCCAGCTGCCTTTTTTTTTTTGTATGGTCCTCACTAGGCCACGAGGTACCCAGAGAGTTGGTCAAATAATACTCGGGGTGTTTCTGTGTGGGTGTTTTTGGATGAGCTTAACATTTAAATCGAGTAAAGCCGATTGCCCTCACTAACGTGAGCGGGCCTCATCGAATCAGTCGAAGGCCTGAAGAGAACAAAAAGGCTGATTTCCCTCTGAGTAAGAGAATTCCTCCTGACTGACAGCCTTTGAACGGGAACATTGGCTTCTTTCTGCTTTCAGACTGAAACTGAAATATCAACTCTTCCTAGGTCTCCGGCTTGCTGACTCACTCTGCAGATCTTGGGACTTGCCAGCCTCCACAAATGCACGAGTCGATTCTTTATAACGAATCTCTTTCTATATATACATAAACACGTCCTATCGGTTCTGTTTCTCTGGAGAACGCTGAATTACACAGTACCCATCGTAGGTTCCAATTCTGCCTCCACGTGGTGGGCGGCCCCAGAATATGTGCTCAGACCTCTCCGCCTTACGCTCTTACTCAGCACATTATTTCATGATCAGGAATTCAGTCGCTGCCTCTAGAGCATTCTCAAATTTTCTTCAGCCAGTAATGGAATCAAGGAAGAAACAAGCACTCAGGAATTCTTCTAGCACCATGATTCAGAACTCCTTTGCTCTTGGCAAACACGAAGCCTTTGGTTCTGTGGGCACAAACTGGTCCATTCTTAGTAGCACAGAGAACATCTGCTTTGTGGGCAGAAAACTAAACATTATCTTTTAGTCATTTCCTCTCTATCTGCCACAGATTTAGAACTAAATGCAACAAGGCTGTTTCAAATTGCTGGCTTGAGAAATGGCACCTCTAAGTAGCAAGTGTTCAGCAACCATAATGGCAGGGATGACGGTACAAGCTCCACTGGCCGGTGGAAGAACCCGCCTCAGCACGGAATGAAACCGCCTGCAAACACGGGCCGGCCAGCTGGGAAGTGAGCCTTGTGTTTCCTCCTCCTCCTTCATCTTCAAATAATTCAGACCTTGAGTTACTTGTCTACTGATGACAGAGTACGCTTATTTCGTAACTTCTCATCCAAGCTCCAGAGCCAACGTTCTCAATGTCTCTCTTACGATCGCTTGCTAACGTGTCCCACTCCCAATCACAGAGTCCTTTGCGGTCTTCCCCATCAGAGCAAGGAGAGACGCTTTCCCCTACTCTTTGAACAGCCGATGCATCTCAGTTTTCTATAAACTCTGGCTTCTCCGTGGCAAGGACCCAGAGTCTGTGGGCTCCGTCTTGTTTGTGTGTTTGTTTCTGTGTGAAGTTTAGTGCTGACCATTTTTCATTCCCTTTTATATCCCCTCAAATTGGCCTATATTCCGGCGATTTTAATTTTTCCTTTCCTCTCGGTTTTTAGAGCTGCTGGTTTCCACAGCAACCCACCTAGCTGGGAACCCCATTTGGCTGGGTGGCCACAGGGGCGCTGTAGAAATGAAGGCCATTTCCACCAGCAGATCCATCAAAGGCTTTTTCCCAAGTTGCCTCTAGCGGCCACCTGACACCAGAGAAAGCAGGAAAAGGATGTCTCTTTACTCGGCCTCCACCATTGCGATGAACTATCTTTAACCCAGATTCAGAGGAGTCACGATGGCCTTAGCTCTCTTCAATAAAACAATCAAAAACTACTTGCTCATCAAAACATTTTTCCCAAACGGGAGGTTATTTT